AGAGGGTCAGAGGGAGAAGCAGGCTCCCCGCTGAGCCGGGAGCCCGATGTGGGACTCGATCCCAGGACCCTGGGATCATGACCCGAGCTGAAGGCGGTCGCTTAACCAACTGAGCCACCCAGACACCCTCTCTTTGTTTATGTTTTAAATGCAGTTTAAGATGTGAAATTTCTAGAGATAGAGATAAAGAGTTATGGTGTTTGGGGAATAGGCTAATGTGTGAAAGAAGTAAGATGGCTAGGGAGATCTTGTATTGGTGAAGACATACTTTGTCCTTTGGTTCCCAGTGCAGGAGGTTGAATTTATGCAGGGCATCCATAAAGGCCTTTGAGAGCCGTAGTTAGCAATAAAGCCCGGGCTTCTGGAGACCCCTCTCATGTGGGCAGCTGCGTTCTCATAGCCACTGGCCAACATGGCATGTGTTACTTGGCAAAGGCAAAGTTTAGACTGGCTTAGAATCTGAACTATTTTATTTTCCTTCCTGGCTTCCAGGGATAATCCAGGTCAGTGATTCCCTACCTTTTCAGAGTTGTAACACCCAACTGGTCATCATAAGTCCTTGGAGATACACATCCATTTTAAAACATGGTCTCTATTTGTGCATGTACATACATGAACATTATCTTTTTTAAAGGAAAGAATTAAAATTCATTTTGTTTGGAAAATATAAGAAATCTTCTTAAAATTACCAGAGGGACCCTGGGGTCTTATAAACCTAAAGTTGGGAATCACTGATACATACTCAGCTTAAAACCTGGATGAAATCCAGGTCTTAGGCAGACCAGCGTCTTCAAGAAAAAGGTTACTTATTAGGAGGAAAATAGTTCACATTTTCTTTCTCCTTTTGTAAATCAGAAACATACTCTTATTCCATGAAGTCAAGTACAAACTTAAAAGTTCTGGATTCAGTTCAGTTTTCATTAAATGTCCTTAAAACAGATTTCCTAATCACAGTGCACCGGCTGGGGGCCCGAGGACAGGGGGACAGGGCTATGACTGCCCACCTGTCCTTGAACCCACAAACACACAGAGAGTCAAGATCTTCTCACTTCTTGTTAGTCAGCAGTAGGAGATAGGGCAATACAAAAACCAAAGTCAGTGCTCCCATGCTCAAGGAATTAAGAACTCGGTGGTGGGGCAGGATATCCTAGAAGAAACTACTGAAAGAACAGTTTCTCTAGAGAAATTTATAAACATCATAAACATAGTTTTTATCTTAGAAATGGAGTCTCATCTAAAACTTCGATTGTGTCCATTATTTAGAACTTCATATATATCCCTGTCTCCCAAAATGAGCCCACAAACCCTGAGATTACAGTTCAGTAGAACATAGAGCACTCCCCTGAAATCTGGATTTGAGACTCAGGGGTGATGTGACCCAGACGGTGAAAGGAGGGAGAAGAGTTTCTTGATAAATTTAACTAGTATTTACTGAGCCCTTGATGATGATTTATTAGTCACAAAAATAAAACAACAGCTATTGTTCCCCAAGTGCTTCCTGAGTTGCCCAGTAGTTGAGTAGGTGATTTATATATATTCTCCCAATTACTTATCACATCCATTTATTCTTGGAACACGAAATTAAACAATGATATCAAATGACTAACAAAAGACCACACTTGACAAACGGCTGAACTGGGCTTTAGGTGCAGTCTGGGGACCCGGCTGCCTTTTGCTAGGGGCTGGAAAGTGCAGTTTGTGGGGCTCCTGCTCCTTCCTGGGCGGGGGGTGGGGTGGTCAGGCCCAGACACATTTGTGCAGTGGGGAGACCTGGTCTAGTCCTCCTTCGAGCTGCCTCCTCCATCCCTCCATCTTACTACCCTCGTCCAGTGAGGGACCCCACGGCAGCACCCCCTTCTAGCGGGGCTAACCCTGCAAAGCACTCTTCTCCAAAGTTCTCCACTCCCCTTCCCGTTGCCCAACACCCATTTTCTCAGTGAAGTAGATCTCCACCTGCTTTTAAGAGGAAAGCAAAAGATGAGACTTCTTTTTGCTAACATGCAGAGAGCTAATTGCTCCTGGTAATCTCCCAGGGGATCTCCCTTTTTCTCTCTCTCTCTTTTTTTTTTTTAAAGGAAAATCTCAGTGGCACAGAAGGCTTTCTAATCTTAAGCACTTAAAAAAAAAAAAAAAACTGTGTGGAGGAAGTTACAAAAAACATATACTCTTAACCCTGAACCTGGCTGAGTCAGATTTACCCGCCGGACTCCAGGCAGCATCTACATTTCTCAGCCGCCTTTTTTCTCCCCCTGTTCCTAAAGTGCCTCTTGAAAGTCTTATCCCCAGAGGAAGTAGGGCACCATGTGGGTGTAAAGAGGGGAAAGCAGGTTTGGCTGTTTGTGGGGTATGATTTATTAGTAGTGGGGCTTTCTCTACGGTTGAATTGTATTAAAATTCATTTGTGATAATGTTTCCCATGGAAACGCAGGAGCCACCAGGGTTACCTGCCCGAGGGGACAGCACAGGGCTAGCGTGGGTAGTGTATTTAAACCAAGTGGAGGGCTCCTAAGTTTTGTCTGTGAACTGCTTTCCCTAATCTCATTTTACTGTTTTTCTTTTTTTAGGCACCAATTGATAATGGTTCAAAAATCACCAACTACCTTTTAGAATGGGATGAGGTAAGCATATTTTCATATCCATCCATCTAAAACACCATTTCAAAAATAAAATTGCTGAACAAATACCATTTTATTCTTTTTTAAGATGTGCTAAACACATGGAAAAAAAGAACGTAAGTAGTGAAAAATTTAAACCTATAGTATTGACTGTGGAAAAGGGAGACGGGCTAAAGTAGTGTAATGAATTGTATTAAATTGCATTAAATGTATTTACTTGGCTTATTTGCAAGAAATGCTGCAGAAAGAAAAGGCAGGGTCTTATCTCTTGTGGAGTCCCTAGTGCCTAGCCAGCCATCAATTTGTATTAAGGATCGACTGCTTTGTTATCTTGACTGCTCAGGGCCATTCTGCATAGATGGTTTTGATAAGGTAAACCATGGTGTGGCTTGGGAAGCATAATTTGTTTCTTCTTTTTGAAGCCATGGATGTATTTTGCTGTTGCCCTCTTGAGCGTTCTCTGTGGGAAAGTTGGAGCCCTGCCTGGAGGCCTCACTCTCCCAAAGGCATGTGTGATCACCCTGTGGACTAGACCGTCCTATAAACAGGCACCCCCTTGGCTGCTTCTGTCACCAGAGGCCCTAAGACGGTATCCATGGTGAAGTCTCCTTATTGTCGAGCCCACTCTGTGCTGAATGGTGACCCTGTGCATTTCTGGCCTTGCTAACGCTACCCACAGAATCTCAGGCAGGAAATAACTGGATGCAGAAAGAAGCCTTTCGTTTCTAAAAAGGAACTGTACTTTTTGTTCTGTAGATTTTAATTCTGTTCGCTCATTTACCCTTGCTCTATTTTATCTTTCTGTGAGTGAGCAAGTAGACGAAGGATTTCGAGAATAGGAAATGTGGAATTGGAGAAATGCAAGTTAACTAGTCCTTGTGACTTAAATTTAGGGGGATTTTAAAGATTCAGAATTCAGGCTTAGGCAAAAAGTGACTTGTTGAGTGTGGAAAAAATATTTTCACCAAATATAAAATGAAATTGGACGAAACTCTCACAATGAAATTTTGATGTGAAAAAGGGGGCCCTTCATAGCTTTCTGCATTAGTGTGTTTTCCCATCTGGGTTGCATCTGAAAGCTGGAGTTCCAAATTACCCAAGACAACGATCTATTGTTCCGGGGATCCTTGTGAATAGTTCCTACGTACAGATTGGTGAAATCTCAGACTTGACCGGGATATTTTACAGATGAGGTGGGTTTCATTTTAAGGTGGTTTAAGTGGAAAGTGAAACCACCCCTACGGCCCTTGTGGAAAGATTTTTATAAGCAGTCCAGAAGGCCGGAAAGGAACCTGGCTGACCTGTGAGCACAGGGCAACATCTTACCATCCCCTCTTCCTCCGAAAGGGCAAGTGAGAGTTTGATGGAAAGTGTTAAGTGTGTGTTGGTTTGTTGCACTGACCTGCCTGATGTTTTTTCTCCTATCTTGAGGTTTTATATCAAGATAGAGTTCACCACTAAAGAGGAGGCATTTTTCCTTTCAGATCTCCTCCAAGCTGTGTGCGTGCATGTGTGTATATGTGTGTGTGCGTGCCCACGCATGTGTGTCTCCTATGTTTTTTTGCTGCTTTGGACCATGGCCTCATAAGTTAAGTAGGGTCAGAGAAGTTGAGTATTTGAATGGGAAACCTCCAAGGAAAACCCAGGTGCTACAGGAAATGGTAATGGTGACTGAGTTGTTGGCCTCCTTCCCTTTGAATTTGGATTGAAAGTGCCCTGGCAGGATGCATGGAGGAAATAAGCTACAGCCACAAATGAAATGGAGAAGCTTTGTCTAATGACCATTTATAATCATTAGCACCCACTATAGACTAGTGACCACACAATGTTAAATTGTTTATTTTTGGCCTTCTCCTGCCTTTTCCCTGCTTGCTCTCTTTCCATCCTTTCCTTGCTCCCATCTTAATTCTTCAGCCTTCCCCGTCCTCTTCATTTTCTCTCCCACCTTCTAATTCCTGCTGGCATTGGCTCTGTTGAGATTGACCAAAGACTCCAGGTTAGTGGACTCTCACCCACTATAGGCCTTTTGCCAACGTAGGAATCCTTTTGTATTCTGTGACCTAATATTCACCTTGTAGAAAAACTTCTGGACCCCAAACTCTGTGAAGCGCTCCCTGGCCTTTAAGTTCCATGAGCCCCCTTGGTATAATTGAAAGAACACCAAGATGAGGAGCTGTGGATTCTGTTTCTGGTTTTATTTGGGCAGCTTGACCCCTCTAGTCCTCAGTTTACCCATTAGCTCGTGTATATTTACAATATTGATGCTCTTTCCAAACTCCTTATTTAGGATTGTCCCTTGTGATAAGAGTATGTTTTAGGATCCTTTTCACTGGTGTTTGGCCTGTTCATTTATTAAATATTTCAGCATTTGTGGAGCATACCCTCAATGCCTCAACACTGTATACTGTCCTAGGAGGGATCTGTGACATAGGGAAGGTAATGTGTTTACCCTGAGAGCTGAAAAAGCTAATGTAATGCTATCCTCTTGTACTTTTAAACAGACATGAATAAAACAAACTTAACCACATGCTTCTCAAATTTTTCCATCCAGTAGCTTCTTTGCTTGATACTGTGCCTCTCCTTTTCAGTCCTTCTAAAAAAGATTTAAAAATGGTATCGTTGGGTTTCCTGGCAGTGAGAATAGAAGCAGTAGTAACCAATTCATTCCTGCCTATTTCAGAAGTAAAGTTTCTAACAGAACAGCCTAACAGTTTGTGTTTCTAAATCTGGGGCTAGGTTAGGGACAGTAGTCCTCCTGAGGCAGCTCACTTGGGTTGGTTTTTGCATCCCACATTCCCATGCTACTCAAGCCTTGACTTCCTGAAGGAAGAAAATCAAAGACACCAAGAACAACATCTGCCCTCCAGGAAGTATGAGCATGTGAAGCTCTGGCTATCCCTTCAAAACCTTCTCCTGGTAGTCTCTGGAGTCAGGTACACCTGGTAACAGGGACTCTTTCTAGAATCTGCCCTAGTGGAGTATGGTGGGGCAGCAGAATGGGAGGGGGTGTTTTGCTAGAGTCACTCCCCTCCCCACACCGAACCCTCTCCAGAGCCCGAGCTCTTCTCTCCCAGGACGTCCGTCCGGACCAGCCATACACCCATAAGCCTCTCTGTTGCCCAGGCGGCTGGAAGGGCAGAAGGACAGTAGGGTACACAGAGGAACAGATCCCTACCTGAGAGGGGGACAGGCACCACTCCGAGTCTTGAAGAAGGTTGTGTTCAGGAGTAGCACTCCACCCTGTTTCCTCTCTGACAACTGGTCTGAGAATCACGGCTTGGAGTGAGATGGCCCCATCCATGTCTGGGTGTCCTTTTCATATTTTTTTTTATAGTATTACAGCACTGGTTTAGAGTACTCGGGATACTTTATTTTTTTGTTCAGTTTTTAATCACCATTCCAATAAAAACTATGAGTGGGAAATTTTGAAAGAGCATCAAGTCCTGCTGTCAAGTTTCTTAGAGAAAGGCCTCACTAACGGAAGAGCAGCGGCATAGAGACCAGTGAGTACCTGGCCTGTATTTCTGCAGGGACCGGGAATGGTGTGTGGGGTTGACCATGGGAAGAGCTAATAGTTAATCAGTGGCTAATGGCTGCCCGTCTCTAAGGGCAGGTGTGGTCCTGATGGGGAAGAGAGAGCAGAAACCTATTACCGCCCAGAGGGAAGCTGATTCTCTCTCCAGAATTCATTGTCATCCATGTTGCATCATTGTTCCAGAGAATTCACTTGGAAGTTACTGATAGTTCTGCAAGAGGTTTAGCTACCTACTTTTCTCTGTTAATAATTGTAACTAGGGCGCCTGGGTGGCTCAGTTGGTTAAGCGACTGCCTTCGGCTCAGGTCGTGATCCTGGAGTCCTGGGATCGAGTCCCGCATCAGGCTCCCTGCTCAGCAGGGAGTCTGCTTCTCCCTCTGACCCTCCCCTCTCTCATGTGCTCTCTCTCTCTCTCAAATAAATAAAATCTTTAAAATAATAATAATAATAATAATTGTAACTAGACAGTCCCTCAAGTTTTAAGTCAGTGTGGGAAGTAACTCTGACGGGGAGATGGTAATGAGTCACTAAAAATGGAACACACAGGTGTCACTGGCTTTTCAGCTGTGGCCATCAGTTTTGATCTTCCCCTGAAACAGGTCAGTTCTCATAGTGTGGAAAGGTGTGCACTTTCCTGGTCACATCCCCGTGTTGTGGTGACTAAGGTGAGTTGTGGCGTTCTCAGCCATGGGGCCTGAGAGAGTTGACCTTGCATTTTTGTGGGTCTTCAGCCACTGTGTTCGCCTCCAGGAGCTTCCCGTCAGAAAGGCAGAAGATCATTTTCAAGGTAGTTTTCTACTGGACTACTTGATGAGCCATCTTATGTTTTAACCCCTTTCTGATCACAGTGTGGTCCCTACCCCCACATATACCCCCGTGTTTGCATTTTAATTTCCAAGTCGCAGTCATTCTGCAGGCTGGCAGAAAGCAGGCCCAAAGCCTTATGAGGGTTTCTTTTTTCTGCTAGATTTGAGTATTATACCTAGCACTAACTTTAAAGGAACAACAATAAACTTACTCTTTTGTAAATTAAGTCTTAGTTTAATCCAGAATTATGAATGGGAGAAAAGTTTCTTAACTTTTTAAGAGCAAAACAAGGCTTAGGTGCTAGATTTCTCAAGGTGGATGTTCTTTCCCACAATGGAGAGATTTGGAAGTAGGGGTTCAGGAAGGAGGAGCCAATGCTTAAAGCTCACTACCCCATTCAGGGGCCACCCCTGAGCTAATATCTTTGACCTGCCCCTGTCGGTTTCTTGGGAACCGACCTGAGCTAAATTGGCTCCTCATCTTGCTTCATCAGCTTGATGACACTGAGGTATCTAGTAGGGGTGGTAGGTTTTCTCTAGAAGTAGCTAAGAGGGAGGGATTGAGGACACAGATATCTCTAGGGTAGGGAGGGGCTCTTCCAAAAAAGAATTAGGAACCTTGCATTGACTTGCACTTCCATGCCTGCCCAGTCTGTTTTAAG